GAACAATGACGGTCACCTGTGTGTTTAACTCCTTCAATGGGACCGCCTACTGCTTGCCTTGCTCTACGGTTTTATTTGTTCATCCGGCTAGCGCCGTTTTCATAAACTCGCGGCAGAATTTGGTGAGACCCCTCATAAAAGAGGTAATTTTCGTTTTCCAATATTTCAATTTTCTTGTCCCTGCACCACACTGATTCATTTAACCATATCAAAACGGTTTAGAGGACGTTTCGAGATTTTCAACCATTAGCATATGTGGCACCGAGAGTGATTGCGTGAGAAGATACGTTTGTCGGTGATTCGTGAGGATTGTGACCCTCAGCGTTTATCTCCCAATGTTTCATCAATCGCAATTTAATTCGACCGAGTGTGTTTTAATGCATACCAAGATTCAACATGCTTCGGTTGCCATCGCTTCGTTAGCTTGTTCATAGATCGTTATAAATATTGTAATCAGTATTAAAATCATTCCGTAATTGTCCATCCTGGTAATCAATTTAGTCAGTGCTTGCCTTCCTCAAATCTGCACTAGATTGAGACATGGTGATACCTGATACGAATATAGCATTAAATCGTTTCTAAGGTAATCTTTATAGCTACTCTCGGTTCCGAATCAGGGACTTAGGAAACTTCCAATTTATTGATTTATTAGTTTTTAATTCCTTTGATTAAAAATTTTTCCAAGATAAGAAGACATTAAGACAAGCTACCTCGACCGACAAGTCGATGAATTGCCCAAATAAGGACAACCTCTTGTATTAATTTAGCTATACCAGTCACTAAGTAGTTTTTGCTGTTTGAAACTTGTAAATTATCTTAATGTGATATGTTTTAAACTTGTTTGGTTTGTTGAAGGTATAATCGCCATAAAAAATTTTAAAAATTGAAACATTTTTGGGTAAATCTGGTGTTTCAGTGCTGAAGAAAAATGTCAATATTCCAGCATAACTGTTGATCCAACAGTGACCGTCTTAAGACTTAGTATAACGCATGTCGTAGCTAGGGACAGCAACTTTGCTCTACCAGCCATCGGTCTGAAAATGGTCCACTCATCTGATCTGACAGATTCTCCTCAAAATTAGAATATTATTAAGCAAGCTCTTAACGCAGCCATAAATGGGAAACTTAATGCTAGCGGTAAACTCCTGCTCGAAAACAACCATTCCGTACAGGGTAATCTTGAAAATGTTTATACGATGCAGTAATAAACGTCTTATGGCAAAAAAGAAAAGAAGCTGCGAGTTTAGCTGTGATCACAACTCAGAACATTTCTTCTTATACAACAGACTCAAGGTGATTATCTCAACAAGAGTACCTTATCTCTATGGATTAGCGCTGATTTCTGTCACCGTGCGAATAGCCAAAAGTACTATCCTATAACGGCAATACTGACAGCTCCGGACCAAGTACAAGGTGCAATTTCTTGTTTCCTTTCACTCAAAATGGTACTCATTCATCAATCTCGGAAGTATGAAAGGCTAGAGTTTGACTGACCTCAGCAAAAACACATGCACATGGTTTTTAGTCAACTCGTGACCCGCATATAACACGTTGCTATCATTAATGTGGTGACAAACAGCGAACCACCATTCCTCTTCTTCGGCTTCTTTAAGTACTATAAATTCTAATGGAATGCGGTAGTTTATTTTTATAAAAAAGAACTAAAACGTGCGTTGAGATCTCAATGGGCAGGATGAGTGAAGGCTGGTTCAAAATTTTGTTTTGTGTACATTTGACACAGGTGTTACTCATCGATCGTGTTTCATCGTTTGTTGAGGAGGTGTGCCAAAGTCTCAAAAATTTTCTTCGAAGTCGAAGTCGTCTCGGTTCTTGGCTTCGCATGTGCTTCGGTCTTCATAGACAAAACGAAAAATGGCGTATTAAATTTCTTTGAGTGGCGAATGTAGAGGGCAACGAATCAACTGTGATGCCATAACTTGTGGTGTCGTGTTCAACCAGGTTCAGAACTCTCGTACCAGGCTCTATCAGTTAATATGCATGACAGAACTCGAGGCACGATTCACGCGAATATGAGTCACGGCACGTCGCGATGAATTTTACGACTCATCGGAAAGTCGCATGTAATTTTCGGTTTACGAACCACCCGCTGGACATGCGCATCGATTTTGAACCAAGTCTTTCGTAGGATATGGTAAGCAAATGGGAACTCTTCTGGTGACACTTGCGCAATGAACGAGTTTCGTCCCTCATGCTGGCATTTCTATAGTTTCGAAATGATAATAGGATGTCTGAAAGTCAGAGTCTATCAAGGTTCTTTTCCATCAGCTGAGGTTAAGTATCACTACTAAATTAACTTTTCCTTCGTTCATCCTTCACGTGACCGCTACTCTTCGTTGGTAGCCTGTCATAAACGCAGTTGGGGTTCTCAAAATTTTCTCTCTCTTTCTAACGCTTTGTGGAAGAGTGAGAGTTAGGCAGTCCATCAAGAGTACCAGCCTTTATGCCCACCAAGCTTTATTTGAGGATTCAAAGAAATGAAGCACTTCGGGAAGTTTTGGTCACTGATAGACAACATAGCCGACTGACAGGGAACCCACGATCTAAGTATACCTAAACGTGCTCCCAATTGCATCAGCAGCAATTATGTTCTTATATTCAAATTAAAATCACAAAGGAAAAAGGTTTGAAAGCTGAACATTTTTGTGGTTATGCAGAATGTTATGCCTTTGGTGTTCATGTTACTTGCAAGATTACTGTGCGTACAGGTTTTGCCTAACAAAACATTATGTTTCGAGTCAGTCATACTTTACATAGGAGTGATGAAAAGTCTTGAAATGTCCTGATTTGTTACTTTTAAAATATATGCAGAGCACACTCACAATAAACGTAAGCAGAGGGAAGGATTAGCGAGAAATGTTCGTGACAGGAATAATGCAGACATTCCAAAAATGACTGAGTGCTTATATCTGGTATGTTGTGCTGTCCTCGGAAGGCTACTGATAGTCCTCACAAGTCGCAAACATTATTGCAACACCAGGATTAACAAAAGTTTGTGCTGATTAGCATTCCGGATAATCAGTTATCACTGGGTCAAAGGTAATGGCACATCTAAGGTACGCTGCAGCAGAAAAGACAGCCGTTCTTTTCGCACACTCTATTATGACAAGACCACTGACTGATGCTAGGATCCATTAGATGGATATTTTATACATGATGCTGCTTACTTCTGCCTACTGTAACCAACAATGAAGTCCTAGGAAGTTTCATGTGCTTGAAAACTTTTCTACAGTCGAACGCTGCAGCTCTCTAAGTTGGACAATCAGAGTAAAGCCGCATAACACCTTCGACACTGCTCTCAATCGGGGCCGCCATACCTGGCAACATAATGATTGACGTATAAACTGCATATTCACCTCAAAAAGTGGGTTACCTTTTGTTCTGATTAACACATTACAACGTCCTTTATCGGCTGAGTCAAAGTAAATGGCAGCCCCAAGGTGTTCTCATCAGAGAGTACGGCCATTACTTTGTCTCCTCTATTACACTGACCACACCAGAACACCACGTTGCACTTAGATATATTAAATTAACGACTTGCTAGCTGTTTGTCAATTGGTTGCACCAAGGAACGATGCAGAAAATTAATCGCTCAAGAAAATAAGAAGACAGTAATAGATATTTGTACTCTGAACGTGGGATTTAAGCCTCCACCAAAATGGTTACGCAAAACGTTTAGGCTATTGCTGAAAAATCGTCATTAGCAAACCTCTTGATATCTTGTCCTTTCTCAAGCAGTATGGAACTGAAAGCATTTTCGATGTGAATTAAGTAGTGCAAGTGCCACGTCTTGAATATGATATAGCAGGCCGATTGGGCTGGTTGCTGAAATCACTTATGCTAGGCTGATTTTTGGTTAAATTCACCAAACAGTACAGATGATGGCAATTCTATCATCAGTGCGTTTTGCTAGACACTCCGTTGCATCGCTAAAGGAGGATTGATCTTCCATTTCTCAAGTCTCCGCAATAAAATGATCCTGTTGCACTGCGCTCTTATACCTGGTCGCAGGAATGGAACCATTTACACAGGCCATGGCTACCAGATATTTTTGCACCGCAGTGCATGGATGCGAAACTTCATCAATATCGGATCAAATGAAAGCGTATTCGAATATCAATCATATTCCTTAATCCATGGGCATATATAGTAATTAACTTCAGTATTTTAAGTTTGTCATTAAACTGCTAATTTTGAATTCCTCTGATATGAATAACCATCTATGGCCTTTCTCCAGATTTACACGACATGGCGGCAAATGGACAGTGCATTTATGCCATATAAATCCGGAGAAATGAAAGGAAATGTTTATTTTTTCGACAGTCCTGAAAGTTAGCAATTTGCAAACAAACTCAGAATAACTAGGATTAAGTTTTACTCCACTGAACTCATTTTATGCGCGCAAACTCGACACGATTCGGTTCATTCAGTTCATGAGGCTCAACAGATTCGAAGAACCTGTTCACGAATATGACGAATTATATATGATTGTTTTGGTGCCAGAACTGTTTAAATAGTTCATATGTATCTTAGAGAAAGGGTCTGGGGAAATTGCACATATGACTGCCATAAAATTGCGAACTCATTTTTGGATGTTGCTGGAAAGACGAATATTTAGTAGGTGCTTCTGAAGCACTGCTGGCGGCTTAAGAAGAGTAATTAAAATTAATTGAATTTGTAATATACTAATATACGTAATTATAATTGCGTAATAAATTAACTGAAGATCAGGAATCGCTTCGGTAGCTAAGAACATCGGAAATTCACCGTA